GCAGAACTCCCTCAATTCTCTGTCAGATTGAGTAGTCAGATATGTTACCTATGTATTTTTACCATTACTACAGTTAAACATGTCACTTTTTAAAAAAATGCATAATACTGTCTTTAAGAAAATATTATTTAAATATTTTATCTTTTTTTGTTACCATTCTGAATTTTGGTTAAAAGTTGTATCTTTTGCCTTTGAGCACCGTACATATTTTATTTGTTCTGGAAGTGATATTTCTGTCCTCTGATAATCTATAAATGATGAAATATGTAACTGAGCTGATAAGTACACTCTTTGTACCTTTTTAAATAAGATGACATATTTCTCCATAAATAAAGATCACGTTTCCCATTTTGCTCTTGTGTTCATCTAAGCAAGACAGCATTGTTTATATTTTAAAACGATGGTTCTTTTCAAGTTGTGTATCATTTCTGCTCCTGGGTGTGTGAACTGGTTTCTTTTAGTGAATGTTATTAATCTCATAAAGTTTAATGTTACATTATCTCCCCCCGTGACCTTTTTGTAAACAGATTCCTTATGTATATATGGAATTATGAAAGTCTCCTTGAAAATGGTTTTGGATGTAGAATGTTACATTTCCATACAATCAATCAACAGGCCTTTATGATTTAATAGTTTTAATAATGTTTAGCTATTTGATTCTTGAAGTTAAAATAATTTGATTACATGTCCACAGCTCATTTTGTACTCCTATCTTATGTATAGCATGTTATGTGCTGTTTGTCTAGTAGCTGGGTTTGTCTGTCATTGCTATTTAGTGTTTTCCCATAGGGGATATTAGCCTGTGAAAGATTTTAGAGCTCAGAATAATGGGACTGAGGCCGCAGTGAGATTAGATCCTGTTTTCTCACCACTACAGGATATGGAAATGAACTGGCAAACATCTAGAACTTGTGAGACTTAAATTTACAGGAGTTTGGTTACCAATGATACTGGCATTTAAAAATGATATTGCATAAATCATGTTCAATGGTAATGCATATAATAATATTCAGCTATTCCAACACAATAGACCTTTCATTAATGATAAATGAACAGCACAGAAAATATTATGTACTGTATCTACTAAACTGTATAACACAGAGATTTTATGCATTCACATCTACTTTGTGGATAAAAAAGTCTAAAGGTAAATAGTTGTCAGTTATGTTATCGGATTAAAACTGATATTTTTTTCAAATTAGAAGAGAAAGGTATTTTATGTAATACTTAAGTATACTGCAGTGTTTTATTTGCTTTATACATCTTTAGATTATTCCAATCCATGATGGTTATGCAAACGTTAATGATTTGGCTTGAAGAATCACATACAGTATGTAACTCTTTATTGGCATATAGTATATGCACCAGAGGTGTCCATGTGTATTTTGCACCTCAGCGTGATGTTTTTACTTAAAACGTTAGACTTAATTCAAACATTTCAGATGTAATTCAAAACTTCAACTGAGCTGTCATTCACAAATTACAAACACACTGCCTGATTGAAGCTTTTTTGTTTGTCTGATATATGAAATATAAAATGGAAACCCACCATCAAGTATAGGTGTGGAATTTGCAATGGGTGGGTGGCTTGAAGTTTTTATACTGTATATTGACTTTATTATGCTTAATTTTAGTTCAGTTAGACATGATGGTAATTTGAGAGGTTGTAGCACAATAACACTTTGAAAACCGTCCTGTTATGTTGTGTATAACTGGAGCTGTATGAATGAAAAGCAAAATAATTTACTAAGTTTCACATCTTTGATACAATTTGAGGTTACACAATCACCTACACCTACAAATCACCTACAGTACAAAATCTGCATTGACCGAATAATGATATCAAATGTTATCATGAAATGTCACATTTGTTGACATTTTTCCCCTGTGCATCCAATTTAAAGATCAGATACTCAGAAAACCACAGTGAAATTCTACCTCAAAATACATTTAAAATTTGAGAATATTTTATTTTGACATCCATACAATAACAAATTAAATTACACTAAATACACTTCATGATTGCTCATAAAAATGTGTATTTCAAACATATTTAATTATAGCCCTAAGAAAAATACGTTAACTCTCTAGAAATTGTACACCGGGATCCTGTCGGAAATCAATGGTTAATTTATGAAGTCTTGGGAACGGGGAAATGTCATAACTTAAAACCTGGGTAAAAATTGTTAGGTATGTGATAATGTTAAAATATTCTTCACACAGAGGGCCAAGTGAGATAATCAGTATTCTTTTCATGGATAGCAGAGGGCTTCCATGAACCAGTGCAACTGTACATGTCTGTCCTTCCTTATTAGTCTTCCCTTCCAATGAGTTGCTCATAAGTATGAGAATATGAAATACCTTAAAACGTGATTAATTTGTACTTTTCATAAGGACTTTCTTTGTGGTTGCAATGAAAGATACTTAAATTTGCTTTGGTTAAATTAGTACTCATGTAGTTTACAGTATTAATACTGTACAGTATATGTGTAGAATACAAGGCTATTATTTACTGTATCTAATTTCCTGTATCTGTTAAAAGGAACACCGTACCATATTAAAATGTGTGTAAGGAGCATTGACTCGCAGTGAGTTATGGGTCTGAATGTTAGTTCTTGTCCAGTCATGACACTACGGCAGAAGTAAATGTATTAGTCTTCTCATTCCATCCTTTTGTGCATGTAAAGTCAAAGTTAGTGGTGTCTCCTGTGGTACTATGATTAGTTTAGAGCAATCTATCTTACTGCCGTTTTATGATTTACTTCTGTGCTCTGTCTCTAACAGAAAGAATCAAGTGGGGATCTATTGATAAAGAATGTACAGTTGAAGCATGCTGGAAGGTACACCTGCACAGCTCAGACCACAGTTGACAATGCCACAGCATCTGCAGACCTTGTCGTAAGAGGTGAGTTGCAATGACAATTATTTTTTGAAGACCATTAAATGAACAGCTGTTACATAAGAAAAATACCTTTTACAAAGATTTTGCATTGTCTCTCAGTCCAAAATTTAAATAAAAGATTTACAATACATTATGAAATTCTACGTATTTGGAGTTTTATTATCAATATGTCTGTGATACTTAATAATTGTCAATAGGATGATGTTCTTTGCAATATCAATGTGTTTATATTAATCTTGTAACGCCATTAGACCCAGATTGTCCACAGATTAACAGAATATGATGTGAATATTATGTTACAGACTCCACCCTGAAATAAGGTGGTTCAAAGGATCTGTTGCAACGATCCAATGCAGGCTGATATCTTATTACCCCAACTACTAACTAATACTGTATTGTACATTATATACAGCAGTATACCCAAACATTCCATCCATTACACCCAATGCATGATATGCCCTCTAAACCCTTTACCAATTATCTAATTAATTAACTAATCATCACTCAGTGTGCCTATATACAGTAATAGACGTTTTTAACAGCTACTAGTGAAAGGTCGATTGATGAATAGTTTTATCACAACATGTATTACTACACCCTAATGACAAAAATAACTTACTTCTCACTTTTTGTATATTACAATGTGGAAATCTTTTTTTAGAATTCTTATGCAGAGGGCCTCTAAAACATGCATGAGCAGATAATCACATTCTAAAGCCATCCACTTATTATTTTGTGCACTACAAGTTCGCAGTGGTGACAGTAGAACAAAGGTATCAGAAAGAGGGCAAATCTCAATGTGTGTCACACCTCATTGATGTCTCCTCATTATGCCTAACCAGGTAGTTCCAAGATAAGAAGCCATGATTATCTTCATACTTGGATCATACTTGTTCCATCTCTTAAACATCATTTTTTCACACTCCATTGATCTCCATTGATCTGGACCCTTTTTCTTACCTGATCTGTCCTTTGTTCTCCTGCAGTTTATATCTTTGGACCATACCTCTCTCCCATCTACATAAAAATGCTTTACAGCCAAAAAATTATGCTCCTTCTTTCTTTCTATTTTCAGTGTGGAATTAGTCTTTACTTGATTTTCAAATTAATGAAAATACTTTTCCAAATTTTAGGGGATAATATCACTAGCCAGTTGTTGGACCAGGTTCCCTAAGTGGTGGTAAATAATTGGCTTAACACCACCAGGGATGGGTTGTCCTTAGTCAGCCAAGATTACCTCTGCTTTCAGCTACTCACCTGAAATTTGTATGATGTCGGGGAAGGGCCAGTCCTATGCTGAACTCTAAATTTCTTTAGGGGACTGTGTAGCTTGCGGCTTATCTAAATGTGATAGGCTCAGACGGTTAGCCAGTGTCTTGTACTAAATATCAGCTTCATAGTGACAGGGCCAGACAATAAATCACAGGAAATCAAAATGATCTGAAACCTAAAATTACCTAGGACAATGGAGTTGGCACTCCCAACACTTTTGGCCATATGTACTGTAGGCAGGGCCTAAATTTAATATCTTGGGCAAAAGGTTCTATGTCCTGCAGAAAGATAGTCCTTGTCAACATTACTTGTTTTGAACTTATGGGCCAATATGAAGGATACTACCTTTATGTCCACCAGCAGTACATCTAGCCGTGACCTAATTCTTCTTAGATGTCTCCGATTAAATTAATCTCCAATCCAAGCCAAGACTTTGTTAGGTTTGAAATCTAAGCATTGAGTAGATCAGATGAAATGCAATTAGGGCATCTAGGCACTTAAGGCAAAGAAAAATATAGGAAAGACAGCAGTATTCTGTTAGTTTGAAACATATTTTATTTTTCACTGTCTAGAATATCTATAAAATAATTGTTTCAGCACTGTAAAGATCATTTTCTGAGATAACCCCATTACGTATTCCATGCAACATAAGCAGTTGTGCATTTACAGTATGATCAAGCAAAACATATTATGATTGTTCTAGAATACACTGTTAAATTTTCAAACATGCCCTCTGTGTCACTAGTAAGTAAAAATGCTATATTTATAGTACAGATTTTTCTGAATTGTTTCATGCTATTGCAGTTGCGGTCTCTAGGGAAATTATGTGGAGTAAAGTTTAATTGAAATTGTAGCTCATAAAAAGATGGATAATACAATTGTAAATACAAAATATTCCCAGAAAAGGAGTACATATGATAATGTGATTATAAACTAAAAAAGATCTGATATGGGAATTGAGCAGCTGATCAGACATACTGTATCACAACAGAGTGGAACATTAATGAAATAGAATGTTAGAAAATCATTTGAAATGCAATATTAGTTCACTCCTACATTAGTCTACTTCAATTATTAAGTCTTTGTGCAGTTTCTGTACATGTCCATTATACTGAGGTTAGAGAATGTTATTACACAAAGAATCAATCCTGAAAAATCACACTAACCCATATTAAGCTCTAAAACATTTAGCCTGAATGCCCTAAGGAAAAGCAACAGTTTAGTGTGTACTAAACTGGTATGTTGAGATGCCAATCATTTTGGGAAAGGTTTAGGAAATAGGAATTGAGGAATTCTGAATAATGTGTTTATGTGCAAATGTAATGGAATTTTTCACAGTTATTTAGGGATTGCATGCAGATATAGACAGAATACTGACCCTGTTGAGCATGTGCAACAGAAATAAGGTGCTATTGTAGAAAACAGTGTAAAATAGTGCACAGATATAGATAAAGAATGCCATTGGGATAATATGTTTGTTTGACCTAATAATCCATTAGTTATGCATTTGTTTAATAGTTCACAGTTAATGTGAGTATTTAAAATACTTCTGATTTAATTGTTAATGAGGTATTTGCATGACTCCAATACATAATAGAAATACTGAATATTGTGATAATAAAATAATGTAACCCTTTATATGGAATTTCAGTGTTTCCCAGAACTATTTACCAGAATAGCAGTGTAAAGAGGTGTTTTTTCCTATGTAAATTTTTAATGTTAACTATATATATAATGTAGCACAAATAATATAATAGACATTTGGCATCTCATGTAGTCAGATCAATAATGATTGATTATAAAACTCAAATAAGGTTTGTACATCACTTCAAAAACAAAAACAGAAATATGAGTGTATCCACAGATTTTGGAGAGAGAAAAAACATTGTGAAGAAAACAAGCTATCTTAAATTTTTGGATTCAGCGCAGGCCCCAGTAGTGGGCTATAAATTTTGCACATGCATTGAGCAGGAAAAATTTATCAACCATGTGGTTTTCCCTTAATGGACAGAAATATTTTGTGGAAAGAAATACCTTCTAAAAAATGGATATATGCCAAAAACAAAAAAAAGTGAGAAGATCAAGTTTCACATAATATAATATTTACATGGTTAGTAAAACTATTTTAAGAGCTATCCTGACCTAAGATGCATTTTTATTCGATCTCACAACTCACAATGCATGTTGGAGAAAATATGATTTATGCCTTTAATATGCCCTTCAAAGATTTGTCCTGTAGCTTAATTTAAAAAAAGCAAGGGACGTCTTAAGCTTTTCCTAGCCAAATGTATAAATGCAATCATTTGAGTTGTGCTATCCTGGCATTTCTGTTGAATTATATATAATTATATTGGGGTAATAAACTTGCTTGCAGTAACTAATAATAATAGTTATTGGAGGTTAAATGTAACAGAGCTGCTGTTTGATCCTATTCATACTTAATTACATTATACACAGGACAGGATTATTTGGAAAACAAAGCAAAACACTTAATTGGTATCAACTTTAATCACTAAATCTGGAAAGCTTTATTTTCAATACTGGAGTCTGAATGTCCTATTATAATTGCTTTACTCAGCCCAATGGTTTCTGAGAATATAATTTTGAAAGCTTTTGAACTTGTAATGTTTTCATTTTGTATTGTAGCTGCATTAATACTTCAAAGTAAGATGCAATCTGTGTATTAATGATGGTGAAACCCACTTTATAAATTGAATTAAATATAACAGATAATTGGTTGTTAAAAAAACATTAAAAAAATAATTCCATTAATATTTTATGATAAATTTGCAACAAAAAATATAAAAGCAACTTTAAACCTTACTATAATATCCTGCAATACACAAAGAGAAACATTAAACGTGAAACTGATATGCCTCTTTAATACTTACAGCGTTAAAATCTTCTTGGAATCACTTACAAACTCAGAGTAAAAGGCTTTCAGATATACACAATCTTTTCCTCTTATCTGAAAAAAAAACATTTCATCTCACATTTCTATATACTATAGTTAACTTTGATAAAATGAGCCATTATTTGTAATATGTTGTCATTTTGAAGAAGTTGCAGAAATCAGTAATGCTGCAGGCTTTTTCCACTTGTAGATAACGCAGATAATGCAGATGTTATTATAATAATAATAGTAATTGAAGATTTCCATTTAAAGAAAAAAATAGTTTCACTGCTTTAACCCTGTTAAGTTTTCCAGTTTTATTATTTTGAGAGTCATTTCATTATTTTCAGGGTTGTTTGTTAAAAATCAAAAGCTCCAATTATGGTCTGTGTATTATGATGTTGTAGCTGGTGTAAGAACAAATTAGAGTAATAAATGAATAGGCATTTAAAAAAAAAAACATACCTCATAAAATTTTTTGAGAAATTCAGAAATCTGTGTTCTCCACCCACACTATACATTTTAAGAATATGGCCTTCTTCACTTACTAAAATAAAGCCTTAATGATATATGAAATGAAAAGAATTACTGCCAATCTCATGTAAATGTTGACAAGGGTAGAAGCCTAAAAAATAGCCTTCTAAACAGAAATTAATAATGCTGTAGTTTTTAGTGAGTGTTGAAATTATTTATTGAACAGCAAAACATTTATTCTTAATTACATTACAGTAATGTTATTTCATGTCATAAAGAGGAGACTATTGTAATTAGACAGCTTTCAAGCATTGAAAGATAGGTGAAAGCAGAGAGGTTTGGATTTGCTGGGAGTAAAACAGGAAAGCTTGAGGCTGTAGTAATGGGGTGATAAAATTATTTAGTATAGTCTTTCTTTCCCAGCACAGCTAAGAGATGTAATCCACATTAGTTCAACACAGAGACTCTTGAAATATTGTCTTAGGTGCTATTGTAATGTAATTATTATCAGTTGATATCTGTCAATTAATTTTTAAGATCTGTTAATGACATGTTCATTTTCCATAATTTTCTAAAATGCATTAGTTAATTTAAATAGTATTTAACATATATGTTTGTATGAAAACTACAGATCTTAAATTTAACTTTTTCTTAAAAAATGAGTACTGATAGTGCAGTCCCTATATTAAGGTGCTAACTTGGCAGGAATCCACAGAACAGTTAATTTTCTGAAGAAAACTACTGATTTTTTGTATTACCACAGATTCCTGTCATGCATTCTGTATCATTTTTCACAGTGAGACATTAAAGAGCACTATTCCCCCACATCTCATTGACTGAAGGTCACAAAGTACAATTAGTAACAAAACCTAATTCTGAGATACTGCAAACACAGTGACACATGATCATTGCTCTTTGACATCTACACAATAGAGGAAAGTATCAAGTATGTTCTTCATTGCAACCTGTTGTTCAGGTAACAGGTATTTTTGCTCTAGTGTTTTATCAGCAGCACTTGAAAACACTAAAGATGTGATCAGCACCAAGTCACAAGGAGGTAACAAAAGCTATGCTTAAAAACAATTTATCCTCCATGCTGTACTCTTTCTTTAACTTTCTCAGAGAGTTAAAGGTTAAAAAACAAAATAAGTAAAATCTAGAATTCTAGTAGTGAATAATAACCCATAGTTGAGGTGCCAAACTTTGAATTTTTTAAAAGCATGAAATAACATTTCAGATTGAAACAACAGTGGTGAAATATAATATGGAAAACATATGCTGTATTCTACTGAGAAAAATGAGATTTTTGTCTTTGTGGATACGATTTACAATAAATATTACACAAGAAGCTGGAAACTCTCAAAATCTTGGAACATTGTGGTGGAAATAAAATCCCAAGGGCATGATATTTATTTTTTTATCTGGACAGATTCACCCATTAAGATTCATTTTTATTTTAGAGCCGTCTCAGTAGTTTAGGTTTGTAAACCTAACAATGTGTGTTTCCAATTACTTATACTTTTATTTTTTAGGACTAAAAATGCATTGTCTAAAACTGCATTTTGACCTTATGTAGCAAGAACAATGCTTCAGTCTGCCATGCATAAATGAAACCATGTTTTTAAAACCACCTATTTGTTTATAAATGTGGTTTGAAAATGAAGCAGGTGAAAGCTTTTCTTGTGATAGGCTTACTAATGGCTTATTATGTAACCATGGCTGTGCTGCCTGTGCAAAAATAGCAAAATGAAAACTTATTTAATTGAAGATGCTGACAATGTCATAGTTTAATCAACTTTTTCTTGTGGCACTTGCAGAAAACTATAGAACAAAATAAAATGTTTCTACATTGTTTGTATGTGTCACAACATTAATCTTTTCTTTCTATAGGACCACCAGGGCCCCCAGGGGGTGTGAGAGTGGAGGATATCAAAGAAACTTCTGTCAAACTAATTTGGAGCCGAGGAGCTGACAACCACAGTCCAATTTCCAAATACGTTATCCAAGCCAGAAGTGCTATGTCAGACGAGTGGAAAGATGCTAAAACATGTGAGTTTATGATTTGCAATACTGTAAATCACTCTGTGAGAGTAAGAAAAATTAGCAAGTGCTTTTCTACCAAAAGTGTTTATCAGACATACATACAGCACAAACTAAACTCAAGGCTGATTTGGGTATCTTGGTTGAAGAACAGCAAGCTTTATATAGTTGAGCGGTAATTTTGTCATGCAAGATGTTTATTACATGCTTTGTGGTTTCCAAAAAAAGACTAACAAGTGTGAGGTTGGTATCACTGGAAAACTGAATGGTAGAGTTTTGACCTCAGCCCCTATTAAATATAAGTGGAAATATTCAGAGATGAGATGTGCATTGCAGAAGAATGCTTGGCTTTGGCAAGGCAGCATTCCAAATCCAGATTGGTTTTACATGTGAAATTCTTATCTTGGAATCCTATTTTAAAAGTTCAGAAAACTGCCAAAAGTGCTGATTTCATACGCAAAATAACATTTGCAGGCATATGTATTGATGCAATGTCAAAATTAATAATATCAATTGCTGGTATATGGAAGTATTTTTATGTAAATGTTAAAGAACTCAATACATCATAAAAGAAAGATCAATTTGTTTCACAGCTGTCCTTCGACAATCTGAATTTCTAAAATACAAGACAGATTCCCAGACCAGTTTTATAGGTTCTCTTGCAGAGTTCTAAGGAGAGAGATGACTTATTTGTGCATTGAAAGTTTCTGGTAAGCTTAGACTATTGTTAAGTTTGGAGGAATCTTTCTGTTCTTTCTCTGATCTCCATTTTCTCCATTTCTCCATTCTCCATTTTAAGAAATGTTGAGACTACTATCTGGCTCAGTAATAAAACCGCTCCTGATTTTACAGCAGAAGAGCTCTGATCAATCATGTTTACCACAATTAATTTTTAGAGGCCACCTTATTATTTTACAAAAAATCAGGACTGACTCTAAAAATGAAATCCCAAATAAATTGACCTCTTTGGTGAAAGAAATTCTGAGTGTTTGAAAGCTACAGCTCAGGTGAGGTTTTTTTTAGTGATGAATTAGAAAACACTGTTGGAATATATGTGAAAAGCTAAACTAGTATAGCTTTTCCTTCTTCTGCTTCTTTCACCAAGAAAAGTGTTCAGTCTGAGCATTACATTTTTTATATAAAGGTGTATGCATAATTTTTAAGTCAATAAAATGGAACATCATTGGAAGTAGGTTAATTATTTTGAAAGGTACCTTAATTAGTCTTTAAAACTATAGTCCATCTAAAGAATTGGATTTTATTCATTAGTTTATTTCATTTTTTCTAATCATTTTGCATTATACAATTACTTGTTTTTATATACTCAATTAAATGTTATTTTATTTTTTATTTTTTTATGTAAATGAGAATGATATAATTAAGAATGTGTACATATCAAATTGTTCTGCATTATTTTTCCTTTTTGTTTTAGTTGTGGTGTATTTTTCCTAATATATACTGTAGACATACTTTCCTATCACCAATGTATTACATAATCATCGAATAAAAGAATATTTTCTGCATTCTAATTATTTCTATTTTTCGTCTTTCTTCAGCACCTTGGAACATTGAAGGCAATTCAGAGACAGCATCTGTTATTGAATTAATTCCTTGGATGCAGTATGAATTCAGAGTGATAGCAACAAATACATTAGGGACAGGAGAACCAAGCCTTCCTTCCCCAAAAATTATAACCATGGAGGCAGGTTGGTACACAGCTTTGTGCAGATGTTTACTTTTGGGAATATTATTTATCAGAGATTGTTAAGCTCTTTTCATCACAGCACTACTAGTGCAGTAGTAGGTTAAAAAGTTCAGGTTTCAAATTACACCTTTACACCCTCGCCATGGAAGCTGACTAATGAGTAATGTAATGTCAGTGTAGACCAGGTGAAATACAGAAGGACTCCTTCCATCCCCAGCACTTTTATTTCAATGCTCCTAGTCATGATCAGACTTGGAGAGACCTCCCAGAAAGCTGCACTGCATTAGTGGTCCAGGAACTCAGAAATTTACTTTGACATCACTAACATAAGTAAAACCTCACAAGCTGGAAAAAGTCTACTCAAGGAATATAGAGGGAGCTATACAGTACTTTTTTTCCTGGAAGGGAAAATCAGAGGATGAATGTTGTATTCATGGAGATTAGTTTTTCATCAGGAAATAAATCATCATCCACCTTCATGGGTTATCCTGTTGGAATCAATAAGTGTCTCATGTGCGACAAAACCAAGGAAGATTTCTATGCGAAGCACGACTTAATTATTTGTGAAAACCTGAAAAATTACAGTCATATTCTACTTTAGAGTTTAGTGCTAGAGTTACAAGAAATACCAGTCTCTAGTATGGAATCTTTGGCAAGGAAGGAGTTAAAAGTGTGAACTCCTTATCAAATGCTCAGAGCAATGACTCTTCATCAGCACCTTATTTCAACAGAAAAAATATCCTGGTAAAATCTACATTCTAAACATTCTACATTCTAAACACTTATACAATTGAATTGTTGCAAAGGAACAAGTAAAGGTTTATTCCATGCTGAAAAGAGGAAAGAAGGAAAGAAGCACAACGTTTCGGCTGTGGAGCCTTCTTCAGGTGTCAATTGAATTGTTATTGTCCTTACCAGGAATCCTGAAGATGTCTACATCACCAAAGCAATGACAGGACATATTCATTCAATTATATGTATCAAAATAAAGCAATGCCACCAACAAGCAAAGACACATCTTTAAAGGAGAACTTGTGCCATGAAGAACAGGTGAAGAACAGAAAAGTGAAAGGAAATTCAGTATCTTGAAGACATAAATGATATCCTTGTTTTATTTACTGCCAAAATTATTATTTATGGCTCGAATAGGAACCATCCCTTTAAAACCTAAGGTAGGGGGAGACCTTCTTTAGGAAAGGGAGGCGGTTAACACTCATTATAAAAAGTATTTTCCATCAGAAATCCAATGTCAGTAATGGATTATTCTATTCAGTCCCAGAATACCATGTTCAAGTTAAATGTGGAACTCTACCACTCTAACTCTACCACATAAGGAGCTGATGAAAGCCATACTTTGTTATTCATCAAAAATAAAGAACAACAAAGATGTAGATGATGAAATTCCCACTGACTTTTTTATTTTTAAGGATAGATGCTAACACTACATCTCCAGGGTCTGTAAAGCAATAACTCCCAATGATTTCAAGGATGCCATGATTACAAAATTCTGTCTGTCTGTCTTGTGAATGTCTCTCCTGTCCATTGTGGACAAAATCACTACAAACAGTACATTCTAGTGAATTGTCTCATTCCTCTTACTAAAGAACTTCTCCTGGAATTCTAATGTGAATTTTGACCTTCAGGTAGCTCAGATGACATGCTTTTTACATCCAATCACAAATCAAATGTGGGGAGGACACATTTCCTGATATCCCAGAACTAACAGCTGCCTGACTTCAGTCTTCAAACTCCAGTATGCTGATGATGCTGTAGTGCAGTATGTGACTAGGCAAAAATATATTTGCAGGCATATGTATTGATGCAAAAGTAAAGACGGGACTCTAAACATTCAAAAGACCAACATTTTCTAAATAAGTTCCAAGTGCACATGTTCTTATTGATATTCATCAATACGTCAAAGTTGACGTAAGAATGTTTTATATGTTCTCTTATTAGTTCCAAATGTGGCTCCCTCAGATATTGGAGGAGGAGGAGGAACAAGCAGGGAGCTGACAATCACGTGGACGGTGGGTTGTGGTATCCTACTGAAAGAAAGATGTACTGTTTTCTTTCTCTTTTGTAATGGTGCATTATAAATTAGATAACACAAGAATATAGCAAATGTGGTATTAGCAGAAAGGAAGGAGGAAGGCCAGCTTTGTAAGGAACACAATTTGACTTATTTTAGAAGACCTACAAGTACTGTTACTTGTTTCATTTTTAACCATAATGAGCATGCGGCTATGACAAAAAATAATAAATCAGAAAGCAATATGTTGAGAATATAATAATAACGCTGATGTAACAGACATGTTTATCATGCATTTTAGTCTAATTTAGGGCCACCAAAAAAAGAAGTTAAACATCTGCACATGCAAAGAACATGTTGCTTATTTTGGAATTTAAATACCAAATTGTGTTCCTACAGGTTTTGCAATGCCTGATACAACCCTGTCACCTTTGGCTTGATAAGCCTTGTATTAAGATGAGTAGTGATAAATGCATATTTTTCATATTGTATCCCTTAGTCCAGGGGTTCTTAACCTTTTTGAGACTGCGACCCCTTTTTGGGTCCACACCCAAATAGGAATTAATGTAGTGCCCTCGCCAGGTGCGATGCAGAGCAGGCTGAGGTTTGTAGCCAGGGGATAGTCTGTGGACTTGCAGAGTGACCACTAAGTCACCCTGCTAATGTAAATAGTCTTAACCATCCAGGTGTACTGTACAGTATATAATAGTTAATTGTTTACCTCTGTTATTGTCCTTTGATGTGTAACTACCCTGAATCAGCGTATGTGTCCCGTTTACTGCCCTAGTGTGTGTGTTAACCTTTGTTTGATTCTGTTTCTGCTGCCTATTGTGTGACCACCCTAGGACCACATCGCGACCCTTATGGGGGTTGCACCCCCCAGGTTAAGAACCTCAGCCTTAGTCTAAAGCCAAACCAAAATTATTATTTTTTATTCCTAACTTTCTCAAGATGCTTTAAGATGCTACTTTTTTCTTCTAGCCTGTGCCTAAAGAGTATCACTTCGGAAGGAATTATGGCTACATTGTTGCCTTCAAGCCACATGGGGATAAAGAGTGGAGAAAGGTGACAGTAGCTGACCCAGAGGCAAGACGTTACGTACACAAAGATTCTACAATTACTCCTTCCACAGAGTTCCAAGTAAAAGTGAAAGCTTTCAACAGCAAGGGAGAAGGACCATTTAGTCTAACAGCAGTGGTGTACTCTGCCCAAGATGGTAAGTGACCCATAAGTGACTATAGTCACCCATTAAGTGACTATTGGCCCAGACTGTCATAGTCAGTAAAGTGTCAGGGAAACAGACACACAGACATAACTATAAAAGTAAAAAAGTAAAAAAAACTGCACCTCATTTCTACCGAGTAGTCAGACTGTAAACAATCAAAACAAATCAATTCCTAGATCCTCTTTGAGCTCTAATGAAACTTCTTGTTCTCTTCTTGTTTATCTGTCAGTGGGATCCTTATTCAGTCCCTTACTTTGTCCATTCTCTCTTCAGTGCAGAACATAACAGAAGTCTTGCTCTATTCCTAGACAGAAGAAATTAATGAAAACAGAAGCCTTATCTTTCTGGTCTTTGAATTGTCTCCTGACAGTTGTTATCCTTATAACTTTTAAAGAGTTGTTAGGTGAATTTGGATTGCAGGTCATTCCCTTCAGCTTTCTTAGTTCAGACATAATGAGATGTTGCAGATGGCCAGACATGTTTAGAAACATCTAGAAATGATGTAGAAGTCAGTAAACCAACCTTTTTTGGGAACAGTAGAGTAAAATTATGGATCCTCAATAATGTATAAATAAGTCCCCATATGCTCTATCCCTCTCTGATCCATGACTGACAAAGAAACAGCACTGTGCATGCATTTTCACCTTTTAGAGATCAGACTATCACCACCTTGAGCTTTCCCCTGGTTTTACTGAAATAATCCTCCTTAGTTTAAACTTAAGTTGAAAAAACAAATCTTACAATTTGTCTTGTCTATTTAATTGTGAGTGTAAAGGTATCCCGTACCGTATATACAAATATATACAATATATATCATGTTAGTTCAAGAGAGAATGGGCTGTGGTTTAAGGTTAAGGTTAGAACACCCCTATAATCAGTGAAACTTGGGCAGCCAACAAAGGCTGGGTTTTGGTTCTGGAGTTAAGCGCCACTATGGATTTCGGTGTGGAGACATTGGGTTAACATCTTCCAGAACACCAAAGCCACAGGACAGTACAAGAACATCCTGCCACAGATCAGCTAAAATACCACAATTCAATTTGGATTGGCTGGTTAATCCTGCTAGTTGCAGACTGGGAGACAGGTTGCCTTGGGACTCCGCCAAATTAGTGTAGAATTCATAACTTTTCATAATTTTGCTCAGTTATACAGTACATTCTTTGATTTGGCAAAAATGCCAGTATTCATTGGGGATGTCAAAATTTAGTAGGTAAAACTTGGACTCATGACTGGCAGGTTGTGGCTTTGAGTTCCCACTGCAGCCTCTGTACCTCTGACAGAGGTCCTTGGGGATAATCCCAGCTATAGACCGAAGTTCCATCTGAGTGTTAGTCACGTGTTCTCTGTTGCTCTTAGCAGTGTGGAAACTGGGATGAGCTCTGGCCTAAGTGTTCACAATATGTGCCCAGAGTCATAACTAGTAATACGTACAGTAGCTCATATTTAATAAAACCAGCAACTGCTAAACTAGTACTGCCAAGACTACAAAAATGACTAAAAGAAGAAAAATACTATTGTTACTTCTATGATAAATTTAGACCTTTAACAACTATTTAATTAAGACAATTCTGCAGTGTTTCTATTTGTCAGTATTGTACGGTATAACAAACATTATACATGAACATGTTACAGAACTTGTCTGACCCTGCTGTGGTGACATCATTCCCCAGTAACCTGAACAGTGCTGAATATTCCCACAGTAGGGAACCAACTCAACTAGCATAGTGGAATTGCCCACTGTCTGGGGGTGCAGTGTGGCTGGGAAGCTAGAGTGTCATTTTGACAATAGATTTTAAAATACAGTAAGAGAAATTAGCAGCTGCACTGTTGCTTTATAAATATTGTATGTGAGTGTATAAACATTCTTTTATATATATATACAGTATACTGTTTATACTAATCTACAGTATATTAACCTAAACAAGTGAAAATGTAAAGATGTGATCAAGATTTATATATACAATATCAGCAAGAGCTGACATCGGAATCAAAATCAACCTGTAATTTTTAAATGGCTGCACATCATCAACAATATCTGTTGTGAAAAACGTTTTGCAATGCATTAACCTGAACCTGTTTGTTTAAAAATCAGGGAGTTTCCTTCATACATACTTTAATGTACTGTTCAGAACCTTACTGTATGTTTTTATCTTTTTTATTAGTTAGCATAAAAAACAAGCTCTTTATCTTGTTTATTTCCTTTGAGGTTTCTTTATCAGGCCAGATGTCGCTATAAAGCTGTGAACTGTAATCATAAAATGTGTGTTTTCAGCCCCTATGGAAGCCCCATTGGGAGTGACAGCAAGAAGCTTGTCTGCCACTGAGGCCATTGTGTCTTGGTTGCCTGTACACCAGCAATCCATAGAAGGTTATCAGGTATAATTTCTTTGTCTGTTATGAGCAGAATTGTCATAAGCTGTATACTGGATGTATTCTCTTTCAACAAAGAGGTACCATTCACCACTGAAGTGCAACACCCACTTGAGTGACACAATAGTAGGTCTGTCAACAGCCCCTTTCAGACAATGCCATGGTTTTCTTTATGAATAACTCACATCATATGAGGATATTGGTTTGGAAATTCTGGTCCTGGTATTATTATTTGTTCAGATAGTCAAAAATAGTTCTTCTTAGGACACTTGAATGAGCTTTTGCAATTTAATTTGTTTTGTGTGGCTTGTCATTGTTATTGTTCTTCTTTGGCCAGCAATAAAGTAAATATACTCAGGGACGTACTGTACATAGACAACACAGATGTGGGAGGAGAGATTTTAATCTTAAAGAATGTTTATCTCTTGCTTTTCTATGTCATTGCCATTTTCAAAATTGTATGATCTTCGTAGAGATAGTTCTATTTTATTTGTTCTGAAATATTAATAAACACAAATGCAATGCTTTATCTTTTTTCTTCTTCAGATAAGATATTGGAGGAAGCTATATGATATTGAAGCTGCTGCACATCGAGTTCAAGTACCTAGCACTGAAAATCACACTAGAGTTGAAAACCTCCTGCCAGACTCACACTACAACATTGAAGTTCGAGCCTATAATTCTGCTGGACAAGGCCCTCCCAGTGAAATCTATGAGATCTTCACGAAGAAAGCACGTAAGGAAAGCTTACAATGTCTGAATTGTATTGAATATTACTGATGCCACTACAAGGAAAATAAATAAAAACATAATTTAATTAAACAGGTTCACTATTTGCCTGTAAACACTTGTTCGAAATATAAATACTGTGATTTTTTCCATGTTGAAGACAAGAGTTAAAACACTACTAGAAAGAATATCATGTACTATATAGAATATACTGTACTGATACCTAGGTTTTCATAATTTTCATGTGCAAAAGGGCCAATTGACTTCTACCAAAATAAATCTGTTTCACTCTATGGGGATCAAGTGGCTTAAAACATGTTTACTATTATGAAACAGGCAGATAATGATAAATTATCTTAAAAAGCACATTTTGCTCCAAAGCATCATTCAGTACTTCTTTAAATTACATCTTGTTACAAGAATGCTTTATTTATTGCAGTTGGGTAATTTATTTTTTCCACAATACTCTCTATATCTTTAATACTTTCAGTGATGTCATAATGTGTGTATTTAATGCATTTATCATCTCCTGAAATTTGAATTCAATATCTTTTTCAGCTCCAAACCGTCCTCCACGAATCATCAGTAAATATGTGGATCGTTCAAGAGTGAATATTGCTTGGGAGCATGTTGAACCTTTAGCTAATGAGTCAAGAGTGGATGGCTACAAGGTATGTCAGCCTCGACAGTTAGCTTTACCATAGGATGCCCCACTTTTTCTTTTTCCATTGTTTAGAAGCCAAGCGTAGATACTTTAATAGAATGTTTCAAAGGCTCATCAAGTAATATTAATAATTGAATGAGAAAAAATACATTTAATTATGTCTATCACCAGTTATGATCTTGTAGTATAAAAATATTGTCAAGAAAGCAGCTTGACTTCTTATTGAGCTCTCAATAATCTCTCAATCATTCTGTCTTTCTCCTTCTTTCAATAGGTGTTGTTCAGGCAGGAAGGACAAGCTGAAGGAAAACTGTATACAACAGGCAAACATTATATAGACCTTCCTGCTCCAAAAGAAGGGGATTATGTTGTGGAGGTTCGTGCACATACTGAAGGGGGAGATGGAGCAGTGGCCCAAGTTAAGGTTTCAGGTAAATGGATGATTTTGGTATTATTCAACATGATTCTTTTCAGACGTTCAAATGACAGATACAGACCTTTTAATACAGAACTGCACAGTATTTCTGAAATGATTCTGTGTTGTTTCAATATGCCAATTTATCAATTACTTTTCCTTGTACTTTACTGTGCATTTTTCATTTTTATGATAACACCTTTTGCATTTATAAAAATGTTTTCCAAATGTATTTATAATATATTACTGGAAGGGTAGGAGTTCCAACACAGTGGTTAGCATTGCTCCCTTGCAGTGCCGGGGCCTTGGGATCAATTCTGGACCTGGCGTGCTATGTGGAGTTTCTGTGTTCTTCCCGGGTTTATGTGGGTCTCCTCTGGGTGCTTGGGTTTCTTTCCACAGGCCAAATACATCCATAGCTATTCTTGATTTTGTTCTTTAAGATATACAGTCAGAATGAAAAGAACAATTAATCTGGATCTGGTACAGTATGCCATTGTACAACAACAACGACAATAATAATAACAATAGTAATGATGATGATGATTTATAAAGAGCCTTTTCAAACCTTAAGATGCTGTACATACTGATAAAGAATAAAAGGACAAAAAATGCCATACATATATTAAAAAATGAAAGAAGAACATACAGGATAAACAGTAAGGTGATCAGACATGGGCCTTACTAACAAGATGGGTTTTAAGTTTAGTTTTGAAAAGATTCAAAGATTATGTCCTTTGAAGAGTCAGAGGAAAGTCCAATGTAGAGATTTAAGTACAGGAGTGATATGCTGCCAGGATCTAGTATGAGTTAGAAGTCCAGCTGCATAGTTTTAGACCATTAGATTGTTCTTCACTGACATCACTTTCACTTTACCTTTTCAAATGCTGTCATTTATTAATATTTCTTAATGTGGAACAACATTCATTGTTTTAAATTGAGGTGGTTGGGTTTTGCTAACTACTGATTTTATACTGGACAAATTGAATTTTCCTTTGTAATCAAATGTTAATGTACAATTATTTCTGATCATCCATTTGAAAAGAGAGTTTTAAATATCTTCATCTGGGCATACCTTGAGTAAATCACCCATCGAGCAATTTAAGACTAAAAGTAAATAAAGACTTAATTCTTATTTAATGGTATTTTGTTTCCTTACAGATGTATGCCAATGCAAAGTTTTATAATTCAATACAATGGCAATATCAAGTTTGTTGGATACATTGTAAATCATTGTATTTAAAATAATTCATTACAGTGTAAAAACTAATTGTCAGTGAAGGAATAAATGGCTGTCAATTCAGTTCTGTCCTTAAGGATGTACAGTATTATAGTCTTGCTGACAGTAGACTCTGTCATAAACCTCAATGTGAGGTAATATATATTATTTAATAAATGGGTATTTTGCAGTATGTTCTACATTTTTGTAAACAAGAGACAAATGTGAAATTAGCAGTAAAATGAATGACTGTTGATTTTAAATTAGAAAATGTAATCCTGTAGTATGTCATTCAGAAACACCAGAAAAAACTATGTCCATTAAACTAACACCGACAGTTTTATAGTTTGTGTTTGAGAAATAACACCAAGTGTCTATGAACCATAACTAAACTACCTCTATGTACTCATTTCTTTGTCCTTCTTTTTGAAAGATACATTGCCTTCTTGGGAAGACAGCTATACCATTCTGTAATTGATCTCAATTGGTGAAGGAAGTGCCATTGTATCTATTATCATTCATCCTGAACATATCTGACAGCTTGATTTCACGGTGCCTGAAAATGAAAGCTGTCAAGGGTTTAAAAGGATGCAGGATGTGAAATATTGTATGCTTAATACGGTACTTAATGATGTGCTGTGAACAAGATCTCCACATTTTCTTCCCCTCTATTTCTACGTTACAGCCTAGTTGCTCTCTAAAATATAGTGCAAGGCATAACAACATATTTGTGTGCCTTTTAGACTATACATACAGATGTTTATAATTTAAACATTTTATGGTTTTATAAATGCCTTATACACTTTCCAGATGCTCTTCTGTGGAAATTTGTATAAATATCCATATGATCTGAATAGCATTTTGCAAATGATGTTTCCTCCATAACATTTACACTCTCTGTACTCTTAATATTTCAAGTAATATTTCTTTCTACTTTTGTTTCCCAATTTAATATATGTGTTTCTTATTTTGGAAATCTGTACATTTTGTGTATATATAATAGTGACAAAATCTAGTCCAGCTGTATTTTCTTTATAGTACAGCATACAGAAAAAAGATGAATACAGAAATCTCCATTATATTTATACTGTATGTGCAGCATATTTTCATTTCATATAATATGCACTGTGTTTAATAGATTATATCAATATTTTTTATGAAAGAGATGATTGCAAATGTTTATTATCATGGTTCATAAATCTTTGAATAGTTATCCTTTATATTGGTCAGTATAACTACATCCTGTACATATACTGTAGGTCTAAGAGTGTACTGTATACAGTATATTTAAAACAATTTCTTGTCATCTTAATATACTTTATTTGATTTTGATGGAGGACTTTTTCCATTCAAAGTGTTCTTTTTTATTAACACTTTTTATTTTTTTTACTGATTAAATGTAGAATGTGTATTTCAATGTTTTACTGTATTTTATCAGTAAATAGTATAATAATATCAGTTTAATAGTATTTTTATATCAGTAAGGGGGATTATGTAAACTCATACTTCTTTGGAAATATATCTGTATGTTATGCTTGTACTATATAACCATAATAAGATGTTTTATTCTGTTACAATTCTGGGTATGTCAGAATTTTGAAAAATATTCGGTGGTATATTTCTGAAGCCTTTTTTGTTATCCTTTTATATTTTTCTTTAATTAGAACAATGTATATGATAATGTATATGTTGTAGTATTGGTCATAGTATGCATTTAATATTACCATAGCTTTAGCTTTTTTAATTTTGCTTTAATTTTGCTTACATGATACATAATTGGATATTTAGGACAAAGAACTTTATTTGAATATCCACTGTAAATGTTGTGCTTGTCGGAATGTCGGAAGGGCAAGCCGTGGAATGACAAGGAGAGCAATAGAGACCCTATGTGTAGCGGTAAAGGGGGCAACATGGAGGTTAGCCCAGGCTCAGGGGGTCAGACGATGTCGGTATAGAAACCTATGCCCTCAGACCACAGACAGGAACAACCTGGTGCTAGGCAGGTCTCAGGACATCCGAACCTCAATGCTGAACCAGGAGCAGAGCAGACACAGGAAGTAAATAGGCTACACAACAAGACACACCGAAAAGACATGAATAATCACAGGGAACTAAGAACAGAACAGAAGTAGAGCGCCCTCCAGGTGTACTGGGCGTGACAACAAGTGGACAGGACACCACAGGAGTCACTATGAGTGTAGAGAGCCTTGGCCAACTAATGCCTCCCCTCCCACAGGGGTGATCAGCCAATTGCATGCCACGTCTTGGAGATTCTCATTCTCATCTGGCTAGTGACATTCTCCAGCTCAAACCCCAATAGTAAAGTCAACCTGTGCTCAGATGATTTACTGTGTGAGTGAGCTTGTAGGCCCCTGATGAATGAAAACACAGGTTTTATATAGAGTACCCTGATGGACATAAGTGAATGTGACACAGTCACAGAGAATGATGCTCTTGTTTTGTACAGCAGATCAGTGGATTAGGAGTTTCAAGTGTGATGGTCTGGACAGGAGTGTCTAGTTGCTGTTTACAAGTTGCTGCTTGTAACTGAAGCCACCCAGACAGCAAAACTCTACTCCAGGAAATGCTTCTGCCCTTTCTGTGGCCTTATTCTGACATGAAAGTATGCCAGTAGGACACAGGATGTCGGCATGCTGCTTGTGTATCTGCAGTTTTCTTCTTAGTTGAGAATGTAGTAGCAATTGTATGATGGGTGTCCTGCTTGCCAGACTTCGACGATTTGTTTGATATGTTGGGAGACCAAGGAATAGGAACATACAGTACTTGTCCAGGCTCTGCAAGAGAAATGGGACAGAATGTCACAGGACAGTATCTGCTTCCTGGTACAGAGCAGAGCACAAATGTACAGGTCGCACTGCTTCCAAAAGTGGCCAGACACACTACACTACTGTATATCACTTTCACTGTAATACCCCAGATAATCATCCCTGTTGCTCATGTTAAGCACCATAATGAATTTACTCATGTCTGCAATGTACCTGTACCTCCTACAAAATAGATTAGCATATTTTTCAGATACCTCCAGGATTTTATTTGCAGTTACTGTATATACAGTATAATAGTTTTCTGTGATGTTCAGAAAAAGTCAGACACCACATACAGTATTATTACTGTATATTAGAAGTTTAAATCCACTATACTGTACATTATATAATGAATATACTGTATAATGAACTCCATACTCTGTGAGATATTGACCATGTGTTGTCTCTTGTTATTTGCCTTTCAGGTCGAGCAGCAGTTAGTGTGCAGTCTACCAGTTTGTTGGTCCTGATTGTGGTTGCCCTGTGTTGCCTGGAACTCTGAATGTAGCTCCTTCATTATTTTTCTTCACTTTAGTGAAGAGGACTCTGTAAGGTTCACACCTATGAGGACTTTGGCTCTTTCAAGAATCCCTGGTATCATCCTGAAGGCAATTCTAATATTCCTTGGAATATATAAATGGAAAAGACACTGAGAATTTAGAAAAAGACAAAGACATCCAAGAAATCCCTTATTCAGAACCTATAAATATCTTTGGAAGAGTATCAAAGGAATTCTTTTAACTTGATCAATATGCCTTATATAAACACTTACACCAATCTTTTACAGTTGCATGACTTGTTCTAAAGGGGCAAGGTACCAATAATAGGATTACCACAGTTTAGGCTGTACTGGAAAATGATAAAAAGCTAAAAAAAAAACTAAAGAATAAAAAATATATATGTTCATGTTGGGGTTATAGATCAGGCAAAAAATGGCCAATTTAGAAAAAAAATGAGTGTAACTGGTAAGTGTAAGAGTAACTGAATTTGTCTTATGTGTCTGTAGTTTGCAAATATGATTGACAGCCTTTTGTCTATATTAAAAATTAAAGCACCCCTTTCCTGATATAGATACAGTCAAAACAAATATAAGGTTTTTCAGGCACATCCCTTTTTTTTAGTTAGCTACAATCGTGAATATGTCAATTGATATAGCACAGTATACTATTGCATATAATAATACTGAACGTTTGCACATCTAGTTACCATAAAATGGTAACTTATTGTGCGGTCCATTACAAATTCAGTTAAGGGTATTTTTGAAAGCACATTAGCATTGAGGTGAAAAGGTCTTTTTTTATTCAAAATTTATTTCCTAGAAATTAAAACATTAGAAAAATGTAAAGAAGAGAGAGAAATAATTGTTATTGTGAATATGAAATACTCTGACAGAATGTCTGTTTTCTTAATTATGATACCAAATCTAAAATATAATCTCAGACTATTTGAATGTTCAATACTATTTTTCAGTAACTGTAAAGATACACCAGTAAAGTGATAGTGTCTCTGTAGTTAGCATGTGAAAAGTTGGAAGCAAAAAAAAACAAATATCCGGCACTTGTATTTATTGATTTTTCATAAAACTGAGTGAATGCTTTACTGAGTGGGGATTGAGAGCTGACATTATAAAACATGGTCAAGAGTACCTGATATTCAAAAATTTCAAATCTATGAACATAAAAAACAAGCATACAAATAACAATGTGTTTTAATTTACTTACCCAAATATAATATTTATAAATGTATTGTGATGACAATGTATTTAGGAATTATAATGCCCTGTGTAACATATTTACTGGAGTGAAAGTTAACAGAAAAGTATTAAACTTAAAGATGTACTGAACATAAAAGGCTTTTGTTTTGACTGTATCATTGGGAATTCAGTGTTACATGCTGGTGCTCTGTAAAGAATGTTTTATTTTTTTTCTTAATATTCCAGTTTGAGTGTGATTATTGACAATATGCAGTGGTTCTGAATCAGCTGGATCAAGTATTAGTGTTATGTCTCATGCTTCATGAAATACTAGCTTTGAATGATGTTTTAGTACTACAACCTGGCTAGCTCAGTAGAGGTAGTTTTAAACTTGTAGAATTACCGCAAGAAAAAGAAACAAGCATAATGCAATTGACTGTGAGAAATCATTCTGCTTTGAAGAATTTGCTTGTTAGAGTAATATATTACTTTTATTATGAAGGATACAAGTGGCTTGAGATTTATGTTGGGGACCTTTCTTTGATATATAGTAAATCATTTTTAGGAACTGCCACTTGTTTAAGGAAATATATCATTTTTTCCCCTGAAAGATTAATACTTAATTTGGATTAAGCTGTAAACATATCAATGCTACACACAATTACCTTGCGCTTCTGCATTGTGAGTTCCTGATATCAAATCACCAAAAAGTGCTTCTTTTTGTTTCCTACATAATCAAAATATCACCAGGACAAATTGCCAAATGCATGAATGCCTTTAACTGTAAAATCTATGATGTTCAGAGAAAATGGTACATTTTATTGTGCATGAAATGAAAATGGAAGGTAAAGTTTCATTTAAACTTGCATTAATATAGCAACACAATTCACATACTGATCAGGTAATTCCAATCTGCCTCTCTGGTATAATCATACACACATTTGAATGACACTCTCTATGTCAGAAATAATGTTGATAAGCCTAATCTGTGTATTATCTGCTTACATAAAGCCAGTCTTCTCAATTAAAGTTTAGACAAAATAAAATGATGCTTGGTGTATTTTCACAAATCTACACGACATTTTTATAACAAAAGTCTGACATAATCATCTTTCAAATGCATTTCAAAGGCTAGTTTGATTGGATGTATAGCAGTTATTAAAATCACAGTTTAAAAGATAAACAGGAACCACAGGATGTGATTGTCAGTCTGAGGAACTGATGTTTGAGGTTAATTCCACACTGAACAGAGAAAGGAAAACAAGAAAAGAGCAATGTTTCAGCTGTGGAACCTTCTATAGACGTGGGGAGACTTCATAGCCCAAATGTTGCTTTTTCTACTTTTTTTTAGTTTAAATTAACCTTCTTAATTTGTAACTTGCTCACTGTCCCCACCCATAGCTCTTCAATATACAATAATGTTAGCAAGTCTTATGTTATGGTGTGACTTAGTCAGAAAAAAGCCTGAGATAAAGAAGGTTTTACCTGAAACATTGCCCTTGGAAACTACTTTTAGAAAAAGTGTTATAATAGAGTTGTTCCACCACATCCTTCAGTATAAACCTGTACTATTTGATTAAATTATGTTTGGCAGATCCTACCTAAGGTACTAAAGGATTGCAAAATATGCATCAAAAAGACATAACTGTACTCAGTAATTGGGAGAAGAAGAGGCATTACCCAAGCTGCTTTGAACTTAATTAGAAACTTTGAAACTTGCTCGATACAAATGCACTTCAGCAACCATGATTCCACAGTGCCAAAACATTGCTAGGGTCCTCATTAAAAATATCTTAAAAAATAAAAACTTTGCCTTTTTAGAGAAAGGAAGACATAGCACCTATTTTGCGGGGATTACACTTACAGTACAACACTTTTAGCATCATTATTGCAAAGGCTGTCTGTTTCAAATAATAAGTTATGAATCATGCATTTTACATCTCTTCAAAGAGTTATCGATGAGCTAAAATATGAAAACATGGAATGGAATTAATCTTAAGTTAAATGAACATCTATTGCTAAAACCCATCAAATAACAACATATTTGTTTCCAGATAAAAAAAAATATTGATGGCATGGATGAAATTTTCATACATTTCTAAGAAAATCAACATCTTCTCATATACAGTAGGAGTTCAAGCACTTACACTGTAGCTTTGTCAGTAGGCTGCAAAGAAACAGGTAAAGGTTTATTCCATGCTGAAAGGAAAAGAAAAGAGACACAATGTTTTTGGCAGTGGAGGCTTCTTTGGGTGTGGTTTTTCTCATTTTACAAGGTGGTAAGTTTAAATTCAGCTATGTTTCTAATTGAATCTTGTTGTTTTAACTATTTTTGCGAATTTTATAAATTACATAGCATTCATTACAATTACTGGGAATTTCACTAGGAAAAGGTTCAATTCACAAAGCAAACCAGATCTACTTTTCTAAGTAGAATTCTGGTTCTACAAGTCAGCCGGATATTTATGTGATAAACATCTATATCCCACTCCTAGAGCACACATATTCCCATAGCCACCAGTACCAGACACAAGATTTCAATAACAAATATGGCAACAAAGCCTGAAAAAAACTGAAGAAACATTTAAACAATAAGAGCAATATTTAACTTAGGTTAGGCAATGCCTTATGGGTCTGAAATGGATACCCATACTATAATACAGTCAGTTAAACAAACTGCTTGTTAATTGATTTTTGCAGTTTCAGTATATTCTAGATTGAAAATATACTGTATATATATTTTAAAAGTAGATCATGAAGAAATAAACAAGATAAGCAAATGGCCAAGAGGCAGAACCGGACATCTTCGGTGACAATGAAATAAGCAGATAAAAGACTGACAAGTTAGAACTGACAATCTGGAGAGCGGGGTGCTGGCTTCGATGGCCCCTGCTATCTAACACCAGCTGGGCACACAGCATCTGTTGATCTAATCTTATTCTTATTGTATATGGTCTCTGAGCTTTAAGTATAGATAGTATAAGAAATATTCTTTTCAGAATAATGTACTTTATGTGCGCACGTAATGTGCAATTTTGTGCCTGTAGTTGAGAATGCAGGTTATATAATGATTAATTCACTGGCATCTTGGGTACAAAATACTAAATTAAGTGACCAGAAGCAATTATACCCTTTAAGATTAGAAAGCCATCGCAGCAGAGTTTTCGTTCATGCACTTATAATTCCCTTCCCTCGTGACCATGACACTACTATTCCTGCAACATTATTTTCCTTTCCTTATTGAATGTTTCTGTCGGTGATCCCTAACTGTCTTTTGCAAGTGAAAGATTTTTGTTCGCAGAAATAAAGTAATTTCTTACAGTTTCAAAAACAATTTCAAACTTAATCAACTGAGATCAGTCTCATCTCCAATTTGACCTCGTGATGATGTCATGTCATGTTAAGGTGATTACATTGTCAGGGGACATCATCACTGTAGGCTATGTGAATTATTATCACTGGATTATGGGACTTATTGTTAACATTTATTTTGTACATATTATCGTGTATGGAGCTTTCCACCTTATAGAGTCTAAGGTAAATACTGGGATAAATCCTTTGTTCAGAAGTATTTACTATAAGATGTAATAACTTTTAAAATATAAACATGTCTTATTTTCACTGATGTACATGGATATTTAGATTGGGGTTTTCGAACCTAACTACCAAGAATTAAAGTAGAATTTTCAGTGTTGAGAAAAGAAAACTTTTCTGAGAAGCTCTTAGAAGCAGAAATTCTAACCTCTGCAACACAGTCGTATCCTTAAGAAATAATGGGTTCCAAACTATTTATATTATAGACCATTACCTAAACTTCTAAAATGAATAATGAAAGATTTAATCACATAACATTGAATTAAAGCACTTTCAGGCAGTTTTTAAAATCATGACATTTTATGCAAAGTTACGTTTGTGCTTTGTTTAGGAGACTATACAGTATGTATTTGCACACACTGAATACTGGCCTACCAGAATATTAAGGGATTCCCGTATTGTCAGTCCTCTTCCAATTTAATTACAGGTGCATCTTTACAGATATCTGTGAGGATATGAGATCACTCAGCCAACAGTAGTGAAGTCACTTACTGTACATCAGCTTTGATAGTAATAGTATAGAGCACTGAGCAAACAATTTGGTTTGTTATAGTCTTCATTAAACACACAAAGTGCTAGACCACTCCCATTTCAGTGCACAGTATAGGTAACTCATGTAGGCTGTACCATTTCTACTATTTTGACATGTACAGTATATCTATCCATTCTGGGTAACTGTGCATGGGACAATGGTCTATTGCAAGGCACACACAGACATGCATTCAGTCACATGTACATTGGTGACAATTTACAGTACAAATTAACAGTGCAATTAAGTTTGACAGCATGGTTTTGGACTGTGGGAGAAAACTACAGCATCAGAGATAACCCATGTGGATACCTGACAAACATTCAAACTCCACAGTGAAGGCACCCCATGCTGGTATTTTAACCAGGACATGAGGTGAGGGGTAGAGAGCTAACTGTCACACCAGTGTGTTGTATGTGAATATTTTAGATATTTTTTGCCAATGTTACCACCTGCCAGAGCAAGTGTTTCATCTGACGAATTATAAAATAATATTAATCAGATTCATTTTCCATTGTCAAGCCTTTTTGAAATTTTACTTTCATTGTTCATTATATGAAAGCAAAACAGCAGGAAATGTACAGTATCTAAAATCTATGTATTGCTAAGATGAATACAGTATGTATTGCTAAGTAGAGATGTGATTGCACTTCTGCATGGGTTAATAGAAGAATAAGTAAATATATTTCCAGTTACCTTATTATACACACAGATCCCATCATATTTCTGTATCATATTCCTTTGTTTACATGACTTCCTTAAAGTTACTCGTTAGTTGAAGGTAGACTTTTGTCTTGACAGTCAAGATCAGTAAAGTCTTGCTCCTGTGAAATAATGTGAATGTAAAGCAACACCTGCCAGACAACTTGATTCCTTCCAGACACTGCAGCATGTCACCAACATGAAAGCCTTCACAGGGCTGTATCAACCATAGCAGTCGAAAGAGAAATGAAAACTGATCCTTACTGTATGAATCCTTTAAATCTGTCATGCTACATTAGAAACTGAGACACTGGGGAATCCTGCCATATCAAATGAATGGCAGCTTTTAAGAATTTCATTTTTTAAGTTCATCCTCAAGTATCAAATTACCTCTCTTTGTTGCTTTACTGAATTTCCCAGTAGACCACTTGTGCTGATCTCTTACTGCAAAAAAGCAATGCAGTGCAACTGAAGTGGTCTTATTTCAAATTCCTTTATAAATAGCTGCAATCATTATGGAAAATAGTAAAAGTGGATTATGTGCCTTCGGAATATTGAAAATGCCAACAATTTGAAATTGTAATGGATAAACAAATGAATCCAAATGATCATTTATTTTCCTGATGTCAGCATCTATTTCAAAAAGTTATTATGAAATAACATTATAAATGTGACCATTTTTAATTAATGTAGTAGCTAGCTTGCTGAATGTGACTAAATTTGCTTTTGAAAGGTAAAATAACAGGTTTTATAGATAACAGATGAGACTGGAAGCCATACTTTGTATTTATTTTCCTTTCTTTCAGCTTTCAAATATATTTAGTGAGGTAGTTCATGGCCAATACAGCATTATACAAAGACAAACATATAAATTATCTTGATCAAAATACTATTGATCAGAAATGACAATGATAAAAAGTTGATTTAGAAAATAGTTAATTTAATTGTTTTGAAAGGTGTCTAAAACTGCACACTTTTCCTTTCTCTTTCTCCCTTATTTCTCTTAAAACAATATTGCATATTTTCATGCAATGTTAGGAGCATAGCTTTGTGTTTGTGATTCAGCTAATGGGAGAAGGATAGTGATGTACAGTATTTAAGCTTCCAGCCCTTGCTTTAAGGCAGAAGGGCACTTCAGTAGCTTTTAGGGACATGCTCCGGTGACCTGTTTTGGGAAGAGGAATCTAAAACATCTCTAATCCTGAGTGGATAGCTACAGTATATCCAGTGGGATAGTCCCTTGGCAGTCCAAAAACATATTAAAGAAATGTCTTTAAAAATTGTGACCTAAATCATCAAGACCCTAGACTGTCCACATCACATTTGGTCCACACGTGGCCCAAGAACTCTGCAGGTACAGTATAATACCAACATGGACAACCTAGAGGTACATGAGAGTGACTATAATTTCTTCTGGAAGAAAACATAAAGGCATTATGTTGGATTCATGGAATAAAATTTGCAGTTGAGAAAGATATCATCAATTAACCTATCATCCTATACTATACAAAGTATAACAGCACCAAACTGTATTTACTTCCAGTGGAGAGTGTGGAATAATTTGTAATCATGGTGAAAAAATAAAATGTGTATGAGAATATGATTGTTTGCTTTCTTTATGGAATATTTACAAAATAAAACTGGACCTTACAAAAGAAATACACTAAGTTAGCAGCTACTGTATCACTATACTGAGAGGCTATAAAACAAATTCTTCTGTGAGGGAAATTTTATGACTCCATCGAGTTTCATGTGAAAAATAGATTGCTTGGTTCTAATATTCAATTCAATAAGCAGAGAAAATAACTACAGTCTACACTTTAATAAATTGGCTGTGAAGTAAAAGATCTTGGGGAAACATGGTTGGGTTAAGATGTCTAGTAATGGTTGCCAAAACTCTGCCATGTTACATGTCTGAAGTCTGCAAGATATTGATTAATACAAGCATTTCACTAGTGTGATAGTGCTCCCAAAGATGCTGAAGAAAACACTGTGGTTGAAGATCTCAGACATGGTAACCCAACATGTCCTTCATGTGTTCCACAGAGTTCAATGAAGCAGTACAGGATGTGCACAATGCCTTCGTAACCCTGGCTAAGCAGGTCTGAAAATTGTTGTGTTGGAAAATCTTCTGTTATTACTATTGTACTATATCTCACCAGATTGTACAAATAGTAAGAGTTAGACTGCTTGCAAGGAGTCATCCACATAGCTGTGATCAATAGTAAGTATTACTTTTACTCACACCAATCACTCCTCCTTTGTCAAACCAGTCTCATTCAACAGCACAGTTCTCTTTACAAATCTTTCTCCCTGGAACTATTAAATCTGAATTCATCAGATAAAATTACTTCATTCTAACCTGATACGCTAAGGATGCTCAGTTTCCTTTTATGTCTAAGGACATGTTGTCAACTTTAATTAATATAGATTTATATATATGATACTGTAAGTTAAGTATAATTATTTATTCACACTGAAAGGGAGTGTGTTGCAACTCTGTCATCCTATTCACTGAATATGAGTTTTATTTTGTACAGATCCCTGTACTTAGCCCATAAGAAAAAATGAAAATTGCGAGAATCTACATGAGATTAAAGGGTTCTACAAGAGAATGAAACAGATGTCCACAGCCTTTCAGCTGGTGGTTCTGAAGCGAATGTAGGGAGATCACGTGAGAATGTCATATAGGGTTTCTAATGAAGACCCAGGTGGTACTGACATTCTCATGCAAAACTGGTTAGAGAGCGGGAAGCTAGAATGCCCTCTTGTGGTGTATAGTAAAAAATCCCTTCTCACTGTCACAGAAAGCAGACTAAAACAAAACTTCATATTTTCACTGAATTATAACCAAGTTTTGTTTCACAAAAAAAATGTTTTGGAAGTCAGTTTTTCAACAGCATTTTTCTCAGCGCTGCTCCAACAACAGTTTCCTCTAGCTCAGATCTGTCCCAGCATCTCCCTTCTGACTCATTGCCTGCAAAGAGAATTTAAAGTTTGAGAATTTGTTTGTATTTGTTAGCTGCTATTTTACTGGTGTAGTCAAACGTTAATAATACTAAACTGAAATGTTACCTGCTCTCTAGGCCTATTTTGAATTTACAATTTTACAATTAAGAATTTTCTTTTTAGAAACGGCTTGATCCACTGAAGCCATTCATATCACAAACAACTAAACTTCTGAGCTGAGGTCTACCTCCGATTTCATAGGAAAAGTGATAGAGAAGATCCAAAGGGAAACATTTACGATTCCGTTATTCAATTCATGTTCACATTTTAAATTTACAGAGTTTATTGACAGGAAACACCAGTTTGAGTTCTCTTAACACTACATGGAGTTTACAACGAATGTTCAGGAGGGATGACAACAACCAAGATCAATCAGACTCAGTTGTCAGTGATTTGCAATCGCTCCCAACGTCCTTTCCTCTCCCAAGACGCTATAAATACCTACTGCATGTGATCCACATCTCTCCCTCGCATACGTCTCTTGCATCCCACTTCCACCCCATCTCCACTTCTGCTGTTGTCCCTTGGTCACCCTGCATAGGGGTCCAGGACTCCTTGTCCTATGGCCAGGAGGTCAGCCCTCAGCCAAGCAGGTTAAACCAAATTTTCACTCCATAATCCTTTCATGATGCTTTAATCTTGGGTGTTGTCATTCTTAGTGAAATACAATTTGCAGTGTCACCTGTTATAAGTAGATAAAACATACTGGATAGGAAAATAATGGAGAAAATGACATGAAATGAGAATACTAACTGAAGACATACAGTAAAAGTAAGTAAGAAGTAAGAGGATTACCTGAAGTGAGAGTGCTAGCTGAAGACATACAGTACATGACATACAGAAAACGCATTGGTATAGATGAACCAGGAAACAGAGGTCTTACCACAAGATAATTTGGTTTTGGTTCTGATCCTAACCTTTTAAAAATATATTAAATAAGAGTTTTCAATCATCACATTCAGTGATTCAAAAGTTTACTTTGTTTCTATCTCTTTATCTTTTGCTGTAGAGTTATGGAACTACATGATGGCCAACATTTGTCCAATCAACCACACAAAGAAGCACAGAAATAATGAATATGGACCAGGTCACAGTGCTGGATCAATATCATACAGTATGTGCCAAGACAGTAATCAACATGCCAGGTACAGTACATAATGTAAATGCATATTTTTTGTAACTAAGTAAGATAAATACTTATATTACTTATATATTACTATATTACTGTAATATCAATGCTTTGAATAAACAGCCCATATACTGTGGTCTAGAACATTGCATAAAATAAATGGATAAATCATGTGTTAGATCTTCTGACAGACATATGGCAACAAATGAAAGACCTCAAAGAAAAACTAAAAAAATAAAGTGTCAAAAAGCAATTGGTGACATTGGTAGAACTGAAGAGTATCTGAATTATTATTGTTATTCATCATACAAGCTCTTATTCTTTAAATGTTACAGTAGTAAAAGTTGCTTTTTGGTGTTATTGAAGTTTGATTACAACTTGTGCTGAAGGAAACATACAGTATATGCTTTGGGCACTGTTTAACTTTACATATGTTCAACAAATATAAATATTAACCTCAGATAAGTACTTTGCGTAATTCTAAGCGTCAAAACATACTAATAATGAATTTTCAATCTATGCTTTAATCCAATCTTTACTCTGTTACACCAGCCTTGTACAGTTTTAATTCCCCTTAAGAATAAAGGTTCATATCTTTTAGTAATGCATCTGTTAAGCCAATTAGTGGTTGATTATTGATTATCCTCTCAGAACGTTAGGGAATTGATGTGTGTTATCAAAATATACTTTTTGTATTTAAATTTTAGAAACAAAAAAGAGAACCTCTTACTGTATATCACTTTGTAAATAACTAATGAACAAAGGAAATTATATTTTTTGAGTAATTCGATTTACCAGATTTTCACTGAGATGTATAATATGACCTCTGTTGGTGAGAAACACAAACTGCACACACAAGTTTTCTTGGTACACTTTGGTGCATTAAAGTTATTTCTGCTTAAAACTGAAAAGTAATGTGCAGACAGAGTAACGGTAAGGGATGCAAAACACTGTACACTTGTGTACTGTACAAAATTCAGTCTTTGTCCAGCTGCCAAAAACCCAGGTAATGCATCTGTCAAGATACATTTTTTTAAAGTAGAGAAGCTGTTTTGTGCGATGGAGTCGATTTTAATTGATTTTAAAAAGTATTTGTTTTACCGTTGGAACAACAGAGTGTCTTGGACAAATGTGGGGCTTCTGCTGCTGGTAATTTCATAGAAAAATTCAGAACATAACATATTAGCTAGATGGGCCACAGCTTGTGTGGGTATCCCACAAGCAATTTTGTTCCAGCTTTTATTGTTGTGGTACATACTGCTTCCTATTTGTACCCTGGAATATACAAGTATTCTACTTTTTTATGAACATTAAGATGAAAGAATGTTTATGTTTATGCTTCTAGCCATAATTTGATTAAGGGGGAGACTTAATTTCACAAATGTTTCCCTGCTGTTAGCAAATGTTTTTTATTATATTCAAGAATGGGTATTCTTGTATATACAGAATATTTTGATGGTCTGAGAAAAGATCTGATCTATTTTCTTTGTATAGTATGCATTAAATGAACCTATACTGAATACGTTACCAAAAAATGTAGTAGCTGGATTTAAGTAGCTGAAACAGAATTTTGCTCTGGTTTATTTATACAAGTTAGTTAAACCCTTTACTCATAGGTTTTGATTGGTTTTGTTTTAATGCATAAATATGAACAATGTCAAATCTTTGACTGTATTCTTAATCCTGCTCAATACCTTTACACATGCACTCACACATGTACAATGACTGGCAATATTATAGCAATTTATGCAAATCTTACTGGAATTCTGATAATACAGGACAGCTACATAGGAACTATTATCATACCCTACACTATAATATATCAATTTTAAAAAAAGATGTAAAAGTCAATGTTTTGTCTACGTCTTACTTCTGTTACAAAAACCTTTTTACCTTTTTAAATCTACTATAGATTCCCTGCTCCCTGCACACAGTTTTCAGAACTGAAACTACTTGAGACAAGAGAACCATGTACAGTACAGTATGTAATCCTGTGAGTGCTTAAATACGAAACATCAATATTAGATATCTAACATGTTCTTTTCTTTTTGTGCTTTCAAACAGCTTCATACAGTATGTAGGACTTTAGATAGATAAATACTTTATCGATCCCGTGAGGGACATTGCAGTGCAACAGCAGCTTTACACAGACAACACAGCCACAGTGTAACCAATGATACAATAATAATAATACAATACATACAATACAATCAGTACAGTGAGGGGTGCACTAAAAGAGTTACTCACATTCCGGACACACAAAGAACAAACTAGAACAGAACAGTACGCAGAAAAATCGTATCACACATACAGTATGAATATAAATATAGGTGTAAATATAGATATATATATATAAATAAATGTATTGCATGGGTCCCTGGCATATATTGCACAAAAAAACGTTGTAAACGGGAAAAGAAAAGAAAGAGAACAGATGTAGCAGTAGATGTGTAGATGCGTTCAGTCAATAAACAGGTCACTGTCAATGTTGCCTCTGCCCAAACGTAAGGTGGATGCGTTGTACAGTCTTATGACAGAAGGCAAGAATTACCTCCTGGAGTGCTCCCTGTCGCACCGTGGATGAATCAGTCTATTGCTGAACGTGCTCTTCATTTCTACAAGCCTGTCATAGAGGGGATGGGAGATGTTGTCCATGATGGCATCTAGTTTGGACACCATTCTCTCAGCCACTACCTCCAAGGGGTCCAGGTCAGACCCAATTACAGAGCTTGCTCTCTTGATGAGCTTGTTCAGCCTTTTAGAATCCACTGCTCTAATCCCAGGGCCCCAGCATACAGTACCACTGCGTAGAAAATGGCGCTCGCTTCCACCAACTGATAGAACATATGTAGCATCTTACTACATACATTGAAGGACCTGAGCCTCCTCAAGAAGTATAGTCGGCTCTGTCCTTTCTTATAGATGGCTTCGATGTTCATAGACCATTCCAGTCTATCGTCGATGTGCACTCCCAGGTACTTGTACGAGTCCACCATCTCCATGCCACTCCCATGGATGTAGACAGGAGTATGTTTGACCTTTTAAACCTATCATCCAGTTACTGAATAAATTTTTTTTATATTTGAGCAATCTTCAAGAAATGACAAATTATAAAGTGTTCAAAATGAATATGCAGACTACTACAGCATGTATGACTCTAGTTAAGGCATATCTTGAAAGCTGTATGGTGTTGAGTATGTATGCTGTATGAGTTCTGGTCACCATATAATAAAAAAAATAATGGTGATTTTAGAATGGGTCCAGAGTTGTGTCCTCATGCTTACAGTACGTTAGAACCTGTCTGATCAAGAAAGTGCAACAGCGCCTGTACTTCCTAAGACAGTTGAAGAAGGCTAAGATATGTCCCCAGATCCTCACTAACTTTTACAGATGCACTACAGAAAGCACACTGACAGGCTGCATCACAGTCTGGTATGGCAACTGCAGTACTGCTGACCGCAAAGCCCAACAGCGGGTGGTGAAAACTGCCCAGTCCATCACTGGGGTTGCCCTCCCATCTATACAGGACATTTATGACAGACGGTGCTTGAGGAAAGCTCTAAGCATGATCAAAGACCCCACACACCCCAGCTACAAACTGTATGATCCGCTACCATCTGGAAAACGGTACCGGAGCATTTGGGTCCGGACTACCAGAAACAGTTTTTACCCCTGCACTATCAAATTATTAAACTCCCAGCCTCTCTTACTCTCACCTCACCTCTCACCTATGATCTGAACCTCACAGTGCCTTCTTTCTTTCTTTCTTTCTTTCTTTCTTACCAAAAACCCAAACACACATTGAAAATCTACCTCTACCATACATGTCAAAAGCTCACTCCCCATGATTTCTATCCCTTTATTTCATTCTGTTGATGCATGGTTTTGCACATAACCTGTTACCTTTTTGTTTTTTTGCACATTGCCTGTTGTTGTTTTTGCACTTTGCCTGTTGTTGTTTTGCACACTGCCTGTTGTTGTTTTTTGCACATTGCCTGTTGTTGTCTTTGCACATCACCTGTTGTTGTTTTTTGCACACTGCCTGTTGTCTCTGTCTTTCTTTTGTTATACAATTGTATTGTTGTTGTTTTTTTCTTTGTACTACTTGAGCTAGCTAAATAGCATTTAGTTATGCCACATACCTGTACTGTAAATGAGTATAATGGCAATAAACTTGAACTTGAACTTGAACTGAGGAATAAGAGGTCAATAACAATTTGACAGACCTTAATTTCTTTATCAAAAACTCCTGTCAAAACAGGACCAGGACCTTTAATGTAATAACATGAGATTTCGTCAATTTCCCTACAGGATTAATAAAGTATTATCTATCTATCTAATGGAATTATAAACATTTCTAAAACTTTCTGGAACTAAAATAATTCGTACTTAGACTAATTTACCCAAAGATTTTTTTTGAAAACAAGGCTCTGTGATGTAATAGCCAGACTCATGTTGCAAGTGCTCTGTATGTGAAAAATCATCAATTTCTGCTTAATATTATTGTGTTATTAACCAGTTCAATATTGGTTTCTTCATCTTAACCTGCTGTTTAAAATGATTCTGTAGTTTCAGCACATCAGATGATCATACAGCAGTGATTTATTTCTCTGTTGCCAGTCTTAACCCTGGGTTATAAACTGCTATATTATTTTTTTCTGCATTTTGGATAACCTATGTATAACAGTGATCTACTGTAGCCCCTATTACATATAACATTACAACTCATACATATTAATTACTCCTGCTTTAACTGTAAAATGTTGTGAAATATGTTAAGATAAGCTTGTATTTTACATCAAATTTATTGCTATTCAGGTCTCTTGACCAAATTATTGATATTATGTCCGTGAGACAAGCATTCTTAGTTAGTCTTTGAATTTGATTAAAGGCATATGAGTAGGTCAATTGGGAATGGTATGGTGGCGCAGTTTGTGTTGCAGCCCCACAGTGCTGGGGTCCTGGGTTCAATTCCAGACCTGGGGTGCTATCTATGGGGAGTTTGTATGTTCTCCTGTGTTTGTATGTTTTTTTTTTTCTGGGTGCTCTGGTCTCCTCCCACAATCAAAAGACATACTAGTAGGTTAATTGGCTTCCGAGAAAACTGACCCTGGTGTGAGTGTGTCTGTGTCTAAGAGTACCGTGCGATTGACTGTCCAGTCCGGAGTGTACTGGTAACTTGCACCCACTGCTTGCCAGGATAGGCTCAGGCTCTCCCGAAACCCTGTGTTGGATAAAGCAGATAGAAAATTGGTGGATAAGGCCTACTGTCTTTTGTTTCTGTTTATAAATGTTGGCATCCACTTTTAATTAATCAATTAGCATTAATGCAAGATTGATTTGTTTGCATTTTAAAAGACCGCTTTAACTCCTTTAATTTAACAGTATGAATGAGTCCAAACGTAGCTCTTCATTTCAATGCACGTTAAGAGTTATTTCATTGTAAATATGTTGTACAGTTTAGTTTGGGGATTAGCAAGGTTTCATATATATCAGAATATTAGTACAAGAAGTGAAAGAGGTTTTCATTAACAATAAAAAGTGTAATGTAATTTTAGTATTGCATGTTTCGGTAATTAATGCGTGTCCTATTAAAAAAAGTAATATTGACATATCCCTGGCAATGTAAAGCATTATATTTTGGTATTCATAATTTACTTTTTAAGACTAATTGACAATGTTTCGATTTGCTTTAATAATACCGTATCCTTAAGAGTACATGACAATTTTGAAGCGCACGATTTAGTTGAAATACGGTAGGATCGGTCGGCTGAAAACTTCATTACAAGCAAACCGCCAGGTCAGTAACAGCTACAGTAGTCGGTGACTGAAAAGTATCCATCGTAAACGCATAAAGTGGGACAACTTACTAACTTAACGACCATTGTTCGGTGCTACTTACAATAATGGGACTTGACGTGGAACTTTTCGTGGATTCCGTGGACCCCGACTTCAGGTGCAGGTTATGCACCAAAGTTCTGGAGGACCCTATGTCCACACCGTGCGGACACGTTTTCTGTGCGGGCTGTATACTACCTTGGTCTGTAAAACAGCGGCAGTGCCCGCTGTACTGCAAGCCCATTTCTGCAAAGGAGCTTCACCAGGTCCTGCCATTGAAAAATCTCATTGAAAAACTCATCATCAGATGCTTGTATCACTCCCGAGGCTGTATAAAAAAAGTTAAAGTTCAGGACTTGGGGTATCATACAGAAATGTGTGACTATAGTCCGTCTCGGTGCAGAAATAAAGGGTGCAATGAAGTGCTCAGCTTGAAGGACATGGACACGCACATGAGGGAGAGCTGTGACTGTAGACCGGTTGAGATGTGTCAGAATGGGTGCGGGCTACTTTTGCTCCACAAAGACATTGTGCACGGAAATCACTGCTGTTTGAATGCACTGCGAGCCCAGAGTGGGGCCCTGCAGGTGAAGAGCGCTAACGTGGAGCAAGCAGCCAAGAGACAGGGCATCAGGTTGGCCAGAAGAGAAAACTCGCTGCTGGCTCGGGTGTCAGCCCTTCAAAATGAAGTTCATCTCACTGCACTAACATACCAAATGAGGTTTAACCGATATAAAATCTACATCAACAATTTAAGTAAACACGTAACCGGGCGTTGCAAGGTGAGAAAGCAATACAGCAAATAGAATCTATTAAAAAAAGTAGATGTTGGCTGTTAATTACACATGGACATGTCGAAGGTGTAACAGCTGTTTTTGTAATAGCTAATAATAATTTAATACAAATTGTCATTTATGTTTAATGCGAGAACAGCGAACGTTTTTTTTTAAATGTGTATAAATGTTTCTTCTTTAAGCTGAAATTCCAGGGTGATGCAGTACTTCCCCTACTTCAAGAATTTAAATTGTCGCCGAGATAAAAATGTTAGTCCTGTAATACACGGCCATCACATGAGTACGGCTTGGAATTCCTAAGAGAATGTAAATTCAGTATGTGAACAAATAAAGTAATCGGGAATTAGGAATGTGTGTTGTCAGTAAAGTTCTATAACTACTAGAAACAGAAATCTGTGTTTTCTTTAATTGCAGTTATCCTACAAAAAGATAGTTAATTCCTGGTGAATGGTCAAGTGTTTAATACTCTTATTTTTAAACATCGCTGTACTTCACAGTGGCATTTTATTGAGGTTTAAGATACTTTTGGCAAACAGAAAACACCCATTTAGTGACAAGTTCAGAGTTTTCAGTTCTTTAGTGGTTTAAAGTTCAAGGGAATCTTAGTAATCTTATCCAGACTCTGTTGACCTTTTTTATTTGATCTTTTACCTAGGGAGGAGAATTACAGCGACTGAGTATAGCCCTCCATAGGGAGAAGGACAGTCTAGGATTCAATATCATTGGAGGAATATTACTTCAGGTAATGGCAAATGGGATTTCCCGACAAATAAAACATTTGATGTATTATGTACAGATATCAATTTGTACTTGAAAGTAATATTGTAAGCTGTTTATTTTTTCATTTAATGTAAGAAGTTTTGACTTCCTACCTTTTTGACAGCCTCCTTAATTGTAAACTAAATAGTCCTTGAACCTCCAGCTCTAGTATCAAGGAGTAGTTTTGGATTTTGACAGAACTGCAGTTTTTAAAGGTTTGTGCTTTCTAAAACCCAGATCACTGCTGTTATATGACAGAAAATTGCTGCAAATTTTCTGATAAAGAAGCAAGATGTGTTTATTTTGAAAATAAGTACCCTATTCTTAAAAATATTGATCAAGTTTAATTAGTGAATCGATTATTGTTATTGCTGTTTTGCTCTGCATGTGTTTATGATTCTAGTTTAACTAGCTACTGTATATTGGTACATCTGAACACCACTGGTGACTTTAAATTTATTTGCATTACATGCAATGTTATGATTTAACCTCATGGTAAAGTGTAAACAGACCTGCACAACACTCAGGAATATAGTGTTGCCAATATAATTTTTTGACATTTTGTTTCCTCTGCTTCTCATGCCATGCAAGCTTTTACAGAAATTTAATCAGGATGTGTCTGACTAATGACACCACTGTTATCCCCACTTTTCACTGTTTCTTTTAAACAAATGTGTACAAATATACTGAAGCAGTGTTTTTTTTTGCAAAGAGAGGTGATTTCCATTTCACATTGCCTTTATTTATGATTTTTTATATTACTTAATTTATCAGGAAGAGTCTACGCCTGAAGGGATTTATGTGTCGAAAATTTTGGAAAGGGCACCAGCTGACAAGGCAGGACTGCAACTGCATGACCAAATCATTGAGGTAGGACCCAGCCTTCCCTGTTGCAACTGTACGAATTCAAGTAGCTGTTTATTAACCGTAGATGTGAGCAAGTTTACTCTGGTTTTAGTCATTTCTCTCGTTAAAGAAGCTTGTGCTGATCTTTGCATTTATTTTTTGTATGACTTTTACTTTGCAAAATAGTGTAAGGAATGAAAGTCCTCTTTACTCTGACATTGTAATGCTCACCAAATGTCATTTTAATTATCTCAGCTTGTTCTGGAAGGGCTTTAACATTTTACCTTGAATGGGTTGTTTTTAGTTAATGGAGTGAGACAGTCTTTGACTCAAGTGATCCAATGCAGGTAACAGGTCATGTTGAATGGAATTATTACAAGGTAATACCTGTATGCACAATTCAAGTTATGGTACAATGCAATTCTGTGTGCCTTTTCAATTGTAAGTGGCACAAGACTAAAGTTTTAACAATAAATGGCTTATTAGGAACCTATAAACGCATTGGTACTGTACATCCTGCAAATATAAATTGAGGAATAACAATATGCCCATGGATCAATGTGCAGTTCAAATATGACAAGTTAAAAACACGATCTGAATGTGAATTGGAGAACTTGCCATGAGGAAAAAAAGTGAGTTTCTCAGAATACATATTCTAAATGTGTTTTGCAGAGCAGGAAAAGCACAGCATGAGTAATAGAACACAGAGTTCAAAGACTCTATGTTTTGTGTAGCAAAAGGTAATTGCATCCAGCACTTCATTTACAAGGAGTACTGAATACATTAAAATAATTTTAATGTAATTTTGCACATTCATCAATTAAAGGGGAACTGCATTTCTCAGACAGGTTATTAAATCTTGGTAACATAATATCTATATTATTTTAAGATTTTACGAATACCAAATTAACCACAAAATCGTGAACTTTGTGAAAGTACTGTATAGTCTCCATATCGTAGCAAACTACTGGTCTTGCTACAGGTGAAAGCGAGCATTTGTGCAAATTGCGACGTGAAGAGGCCCTTCCTGCTCACTAGTCACTATAATGACTAATGAAATGTGATGTACAAACAAATAAATACAAGGTGTGAAGCAGACTTCTCACTGCAGAAATGATACAACATGGCAAGTAAGTTAACAAGTAACCTGCATTTGTCGGTAAAACCATCTTGAAGATGAGAGCAATATTTCTTTGGGATTAAAACAGATGTATTCACAAAGCCTATTTGTTTACAATGCAATAGGGCTGCTTCACCTCATCAGACATTGTGTTGCCTCCTTCTGAATCGCAGAATATGGTGCCCTGCATACCTCGAAATGTAATTTATTTTGTGGTGTAAGTTGGACATTTTACACATTACTGTGCACATTTAAATTTAACTGTGGTTTGAAATGCACCCATCAATGCTGACTCTTTCTAACCCTGAAATATAATAATAATATTGTAGTTCCCCTTTAAATATTGAGGCAGCAGATATGAAGCATCTTTTCAAAATGCTGCTTCTCTCAAGAGCACCAGAGACTTATTTATGATTTGGTCAGAGAGAATGTTAAATAGTAGTCAAGAGCTTGATTTCTAAGTTATGTTGTACAACTTCAAAAACCAAAATCAGGTCATGGAAGCACTAAAAACTTAAATATTTTCCCTAACTATTTTATATAGTATGTGACTTAAAATTCTTTAAAAAGCTAGTACAGTAAGTTTGCTTCAATTCTATCATATAGTGAACACATTATTGATGTGCAAAGGGCTTGGTAAAGGCTGGCTTATTTTAACTGAAAACACAACAGTCAATATAAACAGGTTACAAAAATGTTAACATTTTATTTACTGTACTTACAAAAAGCATAATTAGCCATTTAAGAAAATGTTGCACAACTACCATATACAGTACCTTTTTGTACCATGATGATAAATGTAATTAGGGAAAATAACTGTAGCTTATCACAAAATATATAAATCCACTTTTCCAAGCAGTTGTTCAAAGAAATCTTAGCATTATATGGCTATGGTATGTTTCTTTTTCAATCATTTTTTTT